AGGAAGCAGGTTCTGAAATGCAGGAAAAACTAAAAACATTAATATCAGTATATGTAATATGTTTATGTGAAAGTTTTCCCATAGAAATCCAATTTTGCAGTTTATGATAATTTACTTATTTTTATGCATTACTTTTAGTTAAAGCTGGTTACGTAACCAACAAAGGGTGCAGTTACATGATAGTTATGTGATAGTCATAGTGTATTTTCACTATATCTAGTATGGATTCAAAAGGAGCTGCTTCCTGCAATGGGCAAATTATACCGACGTCTGGTACTTTGTGTTCCAGCACTAATATGTGGAGCACAAAAGCAAAGGTAAAAGATGCTATCATCATAACATCCAGGATATTGACACTAAGATAAATCTCATGCACTGATGGCTCATGTCCCATGATTAACTCTTGGCATTATTCTCTTCTGCCTGTGAGACTATGTGATATTTCCAAACCAAACCAGTGTATTAAAATAAGGCTCACATTCGAATATTCCACAGGCGTCAAGAGCAATAACATTTTTGCAGCTATTCTCATTAACCTTATAAAATAACTATTTGTTATATATTTGACTGCTGAGAGAGCAAAGACGTTAACAAAGCCTATAGACAAGATGTGCTGGAAAAAAGATTTGGTATAAATTAAAAATCTACACTACCGTTCAATAGTTTGGAGTCAGTATAACAACTTTTAATGTTTTTAAAAGGAGTCTCTTATGCGCATGAGGAATAATTTATTTGATACAAAAATACTGTAAAAATTAAAATTTTTTATAACTGTTTTGTATTTTAAAATATTTTCAAATGTAATTTATTCCTGTAACGGCAAGGCTGATTTTCAGCAGACATTACTCCACTCTTAGTGATCCTTCAGAATTTATTCTAATATGTTGATTTTATGCAATTTAATGCATCCTTGCTGAATATAAGTATTCATTTATTTAAAAAAAAAATATTACTGACCCCACACTTTTGAATTGTAGTGAATATCTATAGAAGAATATCGTTACAGATTTAAGTTTAAAATAAACATTTTCAATAGCCACTTCTGAAAAGGTCATGGGAATAAGACATGAGGACAAACAATAGAATCTTGCAGTAAAATACCATATGAGGCATATGTAGATCCTCTAGTAAATGAATGGTTCTCTGGGGAATCATTAATATACATCTGACTGTATATAATATTTATACACCAGTCATTTTACAATTGTTTTGTGTTGCAAAGGGAGGATTTTGAAATAGCAGGGCAGCAGCAAAATTCAAATGTTCCCACACATGTAAGCAAATACATTTTTATATCATGACTCTTTTTTTTTTCTGTAAAATCTCTATTACTCTCTGTTGTTTAAAGTGATAAAATATAACTTAATTTCCACCATATTTCTGATATTATCTATCAACCTAATCTGATTAATTTGATCGTTCGCTTTTAATGATGAACTGCCTTTAACTGAAAAATTTGTGTTTACTATTGTCATTTTGCATTATTGACACACTATTTTCCTAATTAATGCTGTTCAGTTGCTTTGACACAATCTGTATTGTTAAAAGCGCTATATAAATAAAGGTGACTTGACCTGACTCTGAGTTACATAACTGTCTAACTTTATTATCTCCATCACAGAGTTTTTTTTTTTTTAAGCAGTGTTCAAGAGGAATTCATTTCAAGGATTAAAATCAGCTTTTTGTTTTGGCGTTAAATAGCATAACAATATTTGTAATTTCATTTGAGACAGCATACATTTTATCCGGAAAGTTTCAAGTTGACTTTATTAAACAAACCTTTGTATTTATCTATATATATACCTAACCACAGAATTTGAGCATAATATTATTTGCCTGTCTCACCAAAACCCTCACAGCCCTGCCTTGCAGCAGCCCTGCCTTGCAGCTAAATGTCTGGCCACAATCCAGACAGATGAATTACGATGAGTTTTTATTGCTTCACCCTCACAGCCCTGCCTTGCAGCAGCCCTGCCTTGCAGCTAAATATCTGGCCACAATCCAGACAGATGAATTACGATGAGTTTTTATTGCTTACATAACTGGAGTTGCTCAGAAAAGCTTGGATTCCACAATGGTCTGTGCCCTTCATACAAGACTGGAGGATTAATGTTTTTTGAAATCCTAATGGAGACCATAATATTGTAACCACCATTCTCAGCTGTCTCATTTGTACATGATTAAATAAAATCATACTAATTATTTAGTCCTAAATAAACCTGTGTGACAGTGACTGTGTACTTTAGGTGTCCCTGAGATGGTAAAACATTCTAACCAGGCTTACAAGATTTAAACTCAACTACTGTAAATGAAAACAGATGATGATCGGAGTCCTAATCCTAAAATACCCATGTGCACTTTGTAACATCATCATTTTAAAAACATGCCTTACGAAAAACGAGCATTAACCTTCTAGAGCCACTCACCGGACATTTCATTTCCGAACTGCTGCAAAACGTACAACAACCAACATAGTAAAACATTGCCTGATTCACGTTCATTTGTTTTGGATAAAACTGAACAAGCTTTTAGCACCACTCACTGGACATTTCACTTTGAAAGTGTCGCTAAACATGCAAGAAGCAATGTTGTATCAGAAACGTCGCGACAGCCATGTTTTTCCAATGATCCTAGGTTTGAACTTTTAGTTTACAAAAATACAAATAAATAGTCAGCTGGTGTTACTTCTCTAAAGAAATGTAAAGCTAAACTTAAAGGAACAGTTTAACCAAAAATAAAATTTTGCTGAAAATTAACTCACCATCTAAGATTCTTCATCTGAACAGATGTGGAGAAATGTAGCATTACATCACTTGCTCACCAATGGATCCTCTGCAGTGAATGGGTGCCGTCAGAAGAAAGTTCAAAAAGCTGATAAAAACATCACAATAATCCACAATAATGAGTACATTTTCAGCAAAATTTCTTTTTTGGGGGAACTATTCCTTTAATAGTTGGATTTCCAAATAATAGTTTGCGCCACAACACATTCTCGTGGGAATTCATAACTGCTTTATGTTTTGGCTGAATTTTGTTGAATATATGAAAATGAAAAAGCCAGGTGTGGACCTTCATGCTTAGTATTTTCCTAAAAATCATACATTACAAAATCGTCAACTCATACAATTTAGAAACCAAAATTTAAAAAAAAAAATTATTTTCACAATTTAATAATTAAAGATATAATAATACATGTAGGTGTTTGATTTCTAAGGACATTTTTGTTTATATTTTGTACTGTTGGGTCACCAATTGATGTCTAATTCAAAATCTGGGCCTCAAACTAAATCAGTCTCACTGGTAAAGACTATTCAACATGAATTTTAATAAGCTCATTTTATAGACAAAAGTGTTTTTCATCCTTATGGAAGATGAGCAAAACGATTTGAGATCTGTGATATTATGGCTTCACAGGATGCCTACTAATTACGCTTCCTTCCCATGCTTTATTATGCCCACCTAATTATGTGCACTGCATAGAATTGCAAAACACCTCTCGCTTTTCTTTTTTTATTATTATTTTTATCTTTTCACAAAACAATGAATATTTTGGTTCCTTATTTTAAAAGCAATTCTTTATTCAAGACAGATACTTATACACTGTGTGGCTATAATGTAAATGTAATTCCTTCAAGAGAATTATCTGATATGGAGTCGGCTATATCTACTGTCACTCTGCTGTTTGACAGATGCTTGCCGCTGCGCTGGGAGAAGATGACGCAGTTTAGCGTGGTACGGCTGACAACTCAGCATTTTCTTGCCTTTAAATCTCACCTTTCACTTCACATTACCTTCTGCAATTCATCATCCAAAGCGGCGATGGTATTAAATGTAATCGCCTTAATTCACTTGGAGTGTGTTTGAGCTAATAGTTGGATGGTTTTCAAGAGCTATACAGTGCCAGTGCCACGGGGTATGTGTGCATGCCTGTATACTGGTCACACAGCGGTCTGGCTGCTGTTTCTCCTGAGCTCAGCACTGGCGTCTGGGTTGAAATGCATCAGCCATACATTTGGTGCCATCACCTACCGACCCATCCACAAAGGATATAACTTTCCCCTTCACGTCACATGCTCTGCTGTTTCCTATTAGCCTCTGGTGGGAGTACAGTTTAAGACTCCTTAATCTATCAGCTGTGTCTGTATCACTTTGTAATGAACAATCTTTAAGGGTTGGCCTCACTTTGTAAAATCTCTCAGAGTCTGAATTTTTAATGGCAAGGCTTATTTAATATTGTCACAACGAGGATATTCCTGCATGACAGCAGGCTTGTTTCCTTTTTCACAGTTCTGGCTAACTGTAATTTATTTTGATTTCTGTATAAATTAGTTGACTTCTGGGGGTTTTCATCCATCTGTTTGAGATATCTGTTTTCTGTTTTTTTTGGCGCAAGCCATTTAAGTACTCCATCACTGTCAAAGTATATTCCTGTTTGGCTGGCATTTGCGAAGAGATTGGGTTAGTGGCTAGTTTATAAAATTACAGATGATTTGCAGGAATATTTGGACACTCATGGCAGTCTTTAAAGATGTGCAGAGCGTGCAGACCTTTGGCAGTGAATGACTTTGTGCTTTCTGCAGTTCATTTGTGCGCTACATTAGGACCAGACACTAGAAAACGTGCTTTGGGACTAAAAGTGGTACTTAATATCTAAAAATAATTGTTTTTAGAAATTTGTGGACATACGGCATGTGTGACAGATTGGTATTGTATAACTGCACAGTCCTTGTGGGACTCAAATGGGCATCTAGATACCACCATGCATCAACAACCTTGATATTGTTTGCAAGTTTTCCATGTTTTAAATTGCAGATGATCCTAAGAATAGAGCGGTTGGTATGTCCACTGGCATGCTTTCCAGTTGACAATATATTGCATTACCTGACAGCACGCTGTGAAGCTCAAGTGACCCCTTTATTATAATTTATATCTGTCAGCAGGATGGCTAAAAAGGTGTATATGACAAGCAACATTTTATTCTTTAAAATAAACTACAGTACCATCTATTTTTATGTTAGTAAATTTATATTACCAGTAAATAATCCAATCGTGGCTTGTATCTTTTTCAGTTTCTACTTATGACTCACATTTATTAAAATAGTCACATAGTCACTATTCAGTGCTTCTGGTAACAAATCGCATATTTGTGCCATTGAATATCATCAGTGATAAATAATGGTTCAGATATCAGCTATTCATTTCCGACTTGACTGTATTTGAAATATTGCTGGCACTGATTCATATTTCTATAACTTATACTATGCATTTATTTGATTGTAGGGTAACACTTTATTTTAAGGTGTCCTTGTTACACGTTACATGTACTTACTATTATAATAACAATTAATTATGCATAATTACATGCAAGTAACCCTAAGCCAAACTCAAATCCTAAACCTAACCATATAGTAAGTATATGTAGTTAATTAATATTACTCAGTACTTAAATGCATAATTACATTGTAACAAGGACACCTTAAAATAAAGTAGTGCCTGTTTTTGGAACTAGAAACATTTCTTATCTCAGTAGTTATACTACTTAGTATTTATTTGTAAATGTCTAAATTATAGTTCAGTTAAAAAGTTGGTTACATTTTATTTGAACATGTTCTTGTTACAATGTAATTGCATATTAAGTACTGAGTAATATTAATAACCAGCATGTACTTAGGGTTAGGATTAGGGTTTGGTTTAGGGTTAGTTGTAATTAATTATACATAATTTACTGTTACTATAGTAAATACGTGCAATAAATATTAGATGGTTATCGGAAAAACAAGCAGATACTGGTAAGTTTTAAGAAATAAAGGTTACAATGGCTTGCCAAATGAGCAGGTTAATAGGCCGTGACTGCCTGTATAGTCTCCATAGGGGAGGGGGTTTGGTGAATGCAGGAGTGGTCAGCGGCAGTGCGCTGGATCAGCCGGGAACACCGGGAGAGACACTGCGGAGAACTCGGCCAACCAAGTTCCGGACGCGCACATCTTCAACTGGACCTTATCCAACGTTTACAATTATGGACTTTTCCTATTTCGCACTTGTTGCGCAACAGAGCTTACGGATCCTTTGGAGCGGTCATTTTCTATCTTTTTTTTGGTTTGGCATGCAGAAATAGTAACAATTTGCGCATTTGTAGGTGAATACTGCTCTTACATTGGTATGGAGGTACTGCAGAGGCAAGATGAGTTCTGATACAGATCATGCCGTGAACTTCTTGAGTAATGCTTCCTCCGAACTGTCCGACGTCTCCAATTCGAGCTCCCCGGGCAACGGGACCGAACCGAGCTCGTTCAGCCTCAGTCGCGCGCTTCCACTGGGCATGGTTCTGGGCGCTTTTATTGTGTTTGCTATCGTGGGCAACATTCTCGTTATTCTCTCCGTAGTGTGCAACAGGCACTTGCGCATCCCAACCAACTACTTCATCATCAATTTAGCCATGGCAGACCTGTTGCTGAGCACAACTGTCCTGCCGGTGTCCGCCACGCGTGAAATTCTCAACTACTGGGTGTTCGGGAGGATTTTCTGTGACATCTGGGCTGCGGTGGATGTGCTGTGCTGCACCGCATCCATCATGAGTCTGTGCGTGATCTCCATAGACCGCTACATCGGGGTGCGTTACCCGCTGCAGTACCCGAGCATTGTGACCGAGAAAAGGGCGCTCCTAGCCATGCTGGGTGTTTGGGTTCTTGCCTTTGTCATCTCCATAGGACCTCTGCTCGGGTGGAAAGAGCCTCCTTCAGAGGATGACACTGTGTGCCTCATCACAGAGGAGCCGTTTTACGCGCTCTTCTCCTCGCTGGGCTCCTTCTATATCCCTTTAGCGGTGATTCTGGCCATGTACTGTCGCGTGTATGTAGTTGCCAAAAGAACCACGAAAAACCTCGAGGCTGGAGTGATGAAGGAGCGCATGGACTCCAATGAGCTGACGCTTCGGATTCATTATAAAGGCTCTCAGACGCAGGATGACTGCAGCAAAGGCCACATGAGGAGCTCGCTGACACTCAAATTACTCAAGTTTTCTAGAGAAAAGAAAGCTGCTAAAACGCTTGGTGTTGTTGTGGGCATGTTCATCCTGTGCTGGTTACCATTTTTCCTCGCACTACCCATCGGTACGTATGATGGTTTATTAATTATAACCCAACTTTTAGGTATGATTACATAGATCTCAATCCTCCCAGGCTGCACTGGTCAACAAGTCAATCATTTCTTCATTTTATTTTACATTCAACATTTTTACAGTTACATGTTTCACTTGTTTGAGCTATTTTGTAAACTTTGTAAATTCTATAGATTCGTGATGCAAAATAGATAAAAGCTTTATAGCCTACTTTCAGCCTGTGAGTTTCTGTGGTGCTAAATGTAAATGTCCCAAAACGAAATTTAGTATAATTTAAATGTGAGCGACAGACACTGACAGATCAGATTATAAGCGAAACAGTGTTTTAAATTGTATAGCAAAAATGTTTGCTGCACCTTATATGCAAAAAAACTTAATAAAAAGTAAAAAGTGACAAAAAATTGAATTTTATCAAATTAGGTCTATGTCCCTGTTGTAAAAACAGTGTTTTTAGAACATGTTTTTAATGGTCCAGTGTGGTCTACTAGCCTGATCAAGATTCCCACTAGCTAGTCTGTCTGATTCATTATCTAGAAATCAGATTTGTAGTTCATAAATTATAGCAAACATATAAATATAACTATAAGCTTGCTAAGCTTATCATCTGTCCCACCTAAAAGAACATTTAAAGTCTAGCCTAGTTCATTCATCCTAGTTATAGTTCTAACCACTCCTGCACAGTGTTATTGTTTTGATATAAAGGAGTCCCAGGGCATACAGTTTGAGACAGTCTGTGCAGGATGCCCCATTATTTCATTAATCTATCATAAGAAATAAAGTTCAACCTTGTTGGACAAATGAGAGACAAACCCATGTGACATTACCACAATAATTAGATTTTTATAAATATTTGTAGCGGCGTGTGTCTTCTGTGGAATTTATCTCCAATTACAGCCGTTCCTGTGGTGGATGATTAACAGTGGAATGCATGCACATGATTCTATCAGCTGTAGAAACATGTCATACACATTATATCACACTTAAAGAGGGAACCAGAAAGATGTACAAGCTGAATATATTTTGGAGCATATTTAGGCCTGTCTTACACTTTCATTGTGGTACTTTGCTGGTATTGCTCCATGCATTACAAGAGACCACATCTTAAAATATCATGCTATAGTTTATCATAAAAATCATACAATATCATGGTGCATTATATTTTAAATAATGGCATATTTATAGTTTATTTTAGTTTAGTAGTTACTACTAACATGCAATGCTGTTACAGTTGAATGATGAACAGTCAAATAATGATTAAAATAACCATAGCAATAATTTTACAGATTGAATATCAAGATATCTGACACTTTAGAATGTGATTCTGTTGCCAGGAAAATCTACACGTCTCCAGTTCCGTTGGTAAATTCATTTTCTGTTTGTGGTACCCAGCTCAGATCTCTCGTTGTTATTCAAAAACATCTTAAACTGTTAAAGTTCAATACGTTTACTCACAAAATGAACAGTTTCAATTTCTCTCATGGATGAGAGCCAGTGGAACAGATGCAGAGGGTTCATTGCAAAGACATAATTTTTGACGTATGAAGCCTTTACTCATGAATGTGTTGTTTTGAAGTGAAAGCAACGCCTGTCATGTTAACCTGATGTGTGGTCATTTAATTCAGCAATGGATGAGTCACTACAGAGCCGGTCCCTGAAGCTTGCTGAAGTCTCCTGGTGGAATGCATTGGAGATGCCAATGTCTTCAGAGCACTCTCATTCCCAGGCTCACTCCCTATCTGAATCCAGAGGTTTCTGATGAGGTGTGGGAATATAGGAGAGGTACTATTCCCACCACAGAAAAATCTGGTCAAAATTTAATCACCCTCCTATATTCACTTTGTGACCCAGAAGGTCAGCTCCCAGTGACCTTCTAAAGAGTCATATTAGCAGATGGGCCGATATGTTTTTCCTGCAAATGAGTAAGGAAATATTTGGAAGGAAAATATATTCCATGTGTTCGACCTTGAGGAGTTAACTTCCCTTCTTTAAGTGGCCTTTGTTTTCATATGCCATGTTATGAATTTTGAAATGAACTGGTGTTTGAGAAGATAGTCATTTCTGGTTGCATTGCATCAAGATTAGGTCATGATAGTTACTGTCCGCAGGCGAATATTTGACTTCCTTTAACTGTCATATTTTTAATCACAGTATCTATTATGTTTTATTTCCACAAATGCTTTGAGTGTTGATTAAGCTCAAAAGGCTGCAAAAATTAATTTACTTGCTTTCTGCTACAGAATAATTCATTTTCTCTTCTAGATGGTAGATTGAATGCAGATTGAATACAGATAATTGAAAAATCAATGACCTCTTTGCCACCAGGCCACATAAGAGTTTATCCATCAAGTAATGTGTTTTCTAAGGGCAGTTCGTACTATTTTGGCAATGATTTCAACAGACTAGATTTAATCACAGATGAACTAAACAACTAAATAACAAAGCAGCAAGGTTTCTCTAAATGTCAGCTGGAAAACAGAACAGAAACCACTTGCTTAAAGGAACAAGGTTGCTGCAAGATTGTTTGTTGACTTCTTATAGCGCAGATTGTCTTAATTTATAGCTGCTCTGACTGAGAGATGTCTGAGTGACATGTGATTTAGAGAAGGAAGAGGCGAGAACATCTTAACGTAATGGAATAATTCACTTACTGGCAGAGATAGGAGCTGACTGCAGGCCTCACACCTGTGACTCTTCTTGAAGTGTGGTAATGAAACCAAGTCTCATCCGGCTCTGTACTGATACATACCATAGTGAATTAGATCAAATCATTCACTTCAGGCATCCATCCTGTTCCTGACAGAGGAATTATTATAAGCACATAACTTTGAAACTTTCTGATTAACAGAGTTATTTTTGTTGACTTGTTTTGTCTAATTAGTAAGATCAGAGCCCAAAAAAAATGGGTATGGACTGCACATCAGGCATTTGCAGGCGAGTGAAAATGGTGAATTCGTCAGGGAAGAGTGAGTTAGTAAACTCATGAGCAGAGATGAGCTACAGTCAAAGTCTGGAAAAGCATGATGGATCTGTGTGACCTTTATTTTTTATGTTTTGGAGACCAGGGGAGTAAAAACCGAAGAAAGATTTCCAGTTTGAAAATGGGACCTCTAGAAGAGAACGATTTTTTTTTTGGCTTATTTCTTTAAATAGATTGTTGGTTGCAGCTGGACTAAAATTGTAAAAGCACTATAAATCTTCCTCAGAGACAGATTTTGGAAAAACTTAAGATAACCATTTTAATAAAAGCTTACAGAGTGCACAGCAAAGAACAGGTTATTCAAATTATGCTTTTTATGGCCGGATGAAAGTGTTCAAAAATAGACTTACTTTTTAAGACAGAGACAGACTTAATGTTGAATTAGAGACTTAGAAATATGACAGATAAAACTTAATTTCATGAAACCTGTCAAGAACATATACAAAGAAATAGGGAACAAAAAAATAAGGAAATTATATTTTTTTGCTCAACTTTTATTGAGAACATTTTATTATTATATAAATTTTATGTAATACTGTTTATATATTATATAGATTTATATCAGTTGGTTGTGTGTGTGTGTGTGTGTGTGTGTGTCATATTTTAATGACAGTTAATGTTTTCCCATGCCATTTGCATTTTTAAAATGCAAAAAAAGTATTTGTACACATTGTGATAGTTTATATATATATATATATATATATATATATATATGTATTGTTACAGTGATTAGACTAATAAGACACACTCAAGTAAAATATCTGTTCACATAACGTTAATGAGAATCTGGAGAGAAATATGTTTATTGTCATTAAGATTATAAAGATTTACAAAAATGTTGATTCTTTAAGTTATTTCTGTACAGTACATGTGAGTTAATAAAGTCTGCCATCTATTGGTAAAAGATGAAAACGCATTGTGCATGCAGATTGTTTACAAAAATTCCCTTTTATTTCTCTTATTTTTAGGGTCGTTTAACACCAGTTTACGTCCTCCTGAAACATTCTTCAAAGTGATCTTCTGGCTGGGCTACTTCAACAGCTGCCTGAACCCCATTATTTACCCCTGTTACAGTCGTGAGTTCAAGCAGGCCTTCATTCGGATCCTGCAGTGCCAGTGTCAGCAGAGGAAACAACAGGGCTGGAGGGCGTACAACTACCGCGTCCAGAAGGGCTCGGATAACCAGGTCTACACAGACACCAGCTCCATTTGCATGAATGGCAGTCAGCAGACCCTGGCCCCAGTGCAACCCAGCCCAACGTTATTCAGCAGAGTTGTGGGCTCTCGTCCGGCATCAGGCCTTCTTCCAGGCTGGGGCCCCTGTACTTCCTCTTCCTCCCTATCTGGGAGCCCTTTCCCGATATCTAGACACACACCTGAGACTACAATCTAGCTTGGTGTCAATAGACTTTCATGCCAATGCTTTTCTCTGTCTTTCAGTTCTTTCTGGATGGATCTGATACATTATTATAGATGTGAAATACATTGGGCATCTTGTCATGCATGTCAGCATTGTTGTTTAATTTGATAGTTGCAGTTGCTATGTAAGAGATAATGTACAGTCAGCTGGTAATGATCACAAAATAAACCCCGACCGGGTGATAAGGATGCAGACGCGAATAAGTAAATAAATAAATGGACATGAAATATTGATTTAAGTTGATATTATTTTATCTGCATATTGTCTTAGCTTCCGCTAAGAAAAAAAAATAGACACTGCAACAATAGAGTAATATTATTGACACTAAAGTTCTCTGAGTTTATTTTCACTGCGGTCGACAACTAAGATTCAAGATGGCGGCAGTTGCAATTGTGTATAACGAGAGAGAATGAGTCTGGGACATGAAAATAGTGCCGGTTTCACGTTAAGAAGTTTGAATGCATTGCCGTGCATGACGGAGAATAAAAAGTGCAACGGTACCCACTTACTATTGGTTCCGGAAGTATTTTACTTCTATTTTCCCATATAGATAAAAAAAAAATTATAATCCTTAAACCAAACAAACCAGCTACGGAGGTGAATCACAACATTACGATGTGCATAAAATTCGATTTAAAGCAAAAATGTGTTTGAAAATTGTACAGGACTGTGTACTAATCGCTTCAATGAGGGAAACAGTCTCATGAAATATTGGGAATGACAGAATCAAATTAAAAACAGTGGAGATTATTATTCAAGGATGTTGATTGTGTATATACAAACAATGTATTTTACGTTTATTACAAAGCATATTGTTTGAGAGACTGAATTCACAGTGCTTCATGGGAGTGGGTGGGTGTAAAGAGTGTTTTGATATGATTTGTTTGTTGCAGTTTTTGATTGGTGGAAATTTCTTTGCAGAATCATGGGTAATGTAGTTTTTCCATCAGGAATTTTACTGTAAAACATGATTATTTAAAAAATAAGTTGAAATCATGCGGGCTGATGGCTTCAGCGTAAGCATATACCATCAATTAACAACCTCATAGTTCACAGTACGATTGTCTTTAAA